AATTTCAATTTTTTTTTTAAAACCCTACGAAGCTAAAAAAAAAAAAAACGGCCGACAATATCCTATGGAGAATTAACCTGCTATAGAAAAATAAAGTTATCTAGTAAGCTGAGAGGTCTCATCATTGCAGAAGATGAGCACGAGTTTGCTGTGAAATATAGAAGCTTGCTTATGTAGAGTTGGGACTTATCTTGATTAAATTATAAAAGGAAAGGGTGGACGAAGAGAGATGCGACCCAAAACTCAATAATCCACCACAACATTGACAAATCAATGAGAAATGTGAGCTGCAGGAGGTGGGTCTTTGAGACTATAGGAGCCATTAGAATAGGTGGAGACAACAATAATTAAACAGGGAGTACTACTGAAACCCTATGAACTACTAAAAACGAAGATGACTAAAAGGAATTGGTAACAAGGAGAGGGAAAGCTGACTTGCTACTTGATAGAAGCAAGGATTTGAGTGGTACGTATCTAAAGCAAGGAAATGTGAAATCCATTTAGAGGAGAGCAGTTTTGAAAGAAGACTGCATGGTTGTACGTTGTAACTCTACGCGACTCATCAATAGCCATCAAGAGCTATGGTGACAACCGTCATGTCTAGCATAAACCTTGATTATGTCCCATGCATAGGCGTGAGGTGAGGCGAGGGGTGCAAGGTCCTCATGGAAAGAAGTGTAGGATGTGTAGAAAAGCTTGCGGACATGAAGAAGACCAATGAGAATGCAGCGAGCATGGCAAACACTTCGAGATCAAGTGCTAGGGCTCACACAGTAAGCACACTTGCACATGCGTGAAGTAGGGTAACCTCACATGGGAGATAGATGAGCTTACGAGAGCTGAAAATCTATGTTCTTAATACTAGCTTCAACTTTTGATTGTGGGATTATTTTTCCATTTTAGTTTTTAATGCCAACACTGGAAAATTCCATCTTCAAGTGCTATATTTACTCACAAGCTCGAAAAGAGATAATTACATTACATTTTCTGAGTTAGTGCTTTGGTATCTGCTATATCTTTAATAATTTGCTTAATAGATTATTTTAATATAAAAAATTTGCTCTTATTTTGCTCTCACAAAACAATATAATTGTACATACTGATGTGAACAATTCAAAGCCTTTATTTTTTTCAGTGGCTTATATAACTATATTCTTCTCTGTGTTTGCAGATGGATCTTGGTGTTGGATCGTTTGTGGTGGCCAATTCTTTAGTATCAAAACAAGCTAGAGGTATCATGTTTGTGTAAGTGACTTTTTTAACTTGGGCCATTTACATACATATCACACAATTCTTATGTATTTACATATCTAACTCCTAAACTTTCATATTTACACACATACCTCTTAAATCTTTAACATCACATCAAAAATACCTCCATCACTTCCTTTTTAAAAGTGAAACACACCTTTTCATGTATAGGTTTACCAGGGTCTGATAAATTTAAATATTAAAATTTGGGTGTTAATATGTAAATACATAAGAATTGTGTGATATGCACGTAAACTTCCCTTTTAACTTTTGCTAGGGGCTATTTTGTTGGCAACATTAGGAGTGCATTACATTCCTAATGCAGGAGTTTTGGAAATTCAGTTTTTTGTTTGGAAGAAATTGAATTTCTATGTAAAATATCATTGTATTGAAATTCAGCTGTTGTCAGTCACCTCGCAAGCCATCAGGCGCCCTTTGTCGGCCCACAGGTAGCTGGCGCCGTCGCCGCTACCACTATCGCTACCACCACTGCTGTCATCGCCGCCGCCATCTCTACCATCACCGTCACCGGTACCATCACCATTGCTGCTACCACCGCTGCTGCCATTGCTATTTATTTACTATGCATCCTTTTTAGTTTTTATCTTCTAGCTTTGCTGTTATTTTTTTCCTGTTTAGCTACTACATGAATTTTTTCTGAGAAAGAAAAATCTGCAATATGCAAAATCATTTCTTTACTATGAACTATCAAATGCTCATTAGTATTCTGATCAAACTCTAATTTTTAATTTAAAATGACACTTTTTTATATATTAACTGAAAGCAGTAATTATTTTTTGTACTTTTTGCTTTACATTTACGCCGCATTTTGGTAAACTAAAGCTATTATGGAAACTGGAATTTACTATATGGTCCAGTCTTTAGTATTTCAATTAGTGAGCTCATTTTATTTTTTGGAATGCCATTATTATAGTCCTACAATTTGAAAATTCTCTGTAATATTATTAATTTTATTCACTTTTCTGTTTTTGATTCTAATTTTTATTTGATTTTTAGAAATTGGAAGGTAGCTCTTCAGTCTGTAAGTCCGCTAGTATTGCTTGGTGCAGGTCGTCTTATTTTCACAGCAGGTGTAGAATATCAGGTGAATTTCTTTTATATAGTTAACTGTTGCCTCTTTGGTTGTTTTGCTTTTTAACGCTTACTGAATCTGAAGTCATTATTTGTTTTGAATGACTGCATCCAGTTAAGCCACCATTAAATGAATTTCTTTCATCAGGTCCATACTTATTCGTGAATATTTATTGCATTGGTGGGTTTTGTTAAAATATTGCGTGTCCTAAGCACATGCAGATGGTGTCTCATGGATTCATGTTTTTATTTGGCAGGTCCATGTGGGAGAATATGGTGTTCATTGGAATTTCTTTTTCACACTAGCAGCTGTATCTCTATTAACTTCCATAATTCACATCCATCCAAAATATTGTGGAATATTTGGCATGGTTATTCTCATAGGTAGAACCATCTATTCCAATGCTAAGATTTAAATTATATCAACAGTCATATGAAATTTCTCTCTTGCTTACAGCTTATCAAATGAGCCTGAAATATGGGTTGAGTAATTTTTTGCTGTCCAGCCAAAGGGCTTCAGATATCATTAGCCAAAATAAAGAAGGCTTTTTCAGTATATTTGGTAAGGATTTAAGTGATACTGTCTTTGACATTTAAACACTTTACCATGTTCTTTTTTTGTTTATTATTGTTATTTTTTGTGCATGCTCTATGGAAATGGACAAATGGATGGAAGGCTTTCTCAGCCTATATAATATATGGATTATTTAGTGTCACAAAATTAGCGATGGGCCAAATACTCTTTTTCTTGTATTTGCTATTCTCTTCTGACTTGTGACAATTATGGATGTTTCAGGTAAAATCAGTTGTTATATAAGTTATTGTGAGGATTTGGATCAATAATATAGTCATTATATATACAAATTTAAGTAGGCAATTTTGTAGATAAAAACAAATTTTGTTTTAAGAATAAAATTAGATTTTACAAATTTGTTATAGAATTTTTTATTTATATATCTCAAAATTTGAACTTCATTAAAATTGAAACCACCTTTCTGTATTTGCATACATATTTGTGATGAAAGATATTTGGATTATTTTATGGATTATGGGGTTGCATGTCAATTGTTTATAGCCGAGAGAGGATTGTGGCTTGAAATGGTTTTAAGAGAGCGAGTTTTACTTTAAGAAGGGATAAGTGAATAGAGATAAAATTAGAATAAATATTTTCTATGATAGTAGAATACTCTCACTATGAGGCTAAAATATGGTTGTCTTAGAAATTTCATGATGCAAGAAGGTGTACTTTTAGGTGTTTTTTAAGTTGATTATTTTAGTTTTTAGTTGAATCTTCTTTTTTTATCATCTCACATGTACTATTTTCTTATCGTGAAAGGTTCTCATTTGCAATGAGATCGGCTTTATTTGTGTTTGGGAAGTGTGTTTTGTTATGCTCTTTTTATTTTGCACATATATATGATTGCTTTATAATGCAGTGGACTTTCTGTCTTTTCTTATGGACGTAGGTTGCTTTAGTCAAACTATATAAATCGTTGTCTTATGCTTTTTGATCTCTTTGGTTGTTATTTTGTGCGTTCATTATATTCATTCTTGATAGTCACTTCTTCAAGGTGACTTTTCTAACAAATTATGTTAGTCTTTAATGTGGAATATGATGGATATAAAATATATGATTACTAAGTTGGGCGGCGTGGATATATTGGCCTTTAAGAAACAACATTTTAATGAATTCATAAGTAGAGATTAATGAAAGAACTCCTGGCATTTAATTAGTTATGCCTGGTTGAAGAGGTGGTGAGGGACTTGGGGGAAGTAACCATTAAGGGTCTTTGGGTTTAGGGTGCTCAAAAACCTCTTCAATAAACTTTGTCAAAAGCAGAGCTGTTGCTTCTTATGCATGCAAGAAGTTGACCCATTAAATTAAATCTTATTGTTTTTAATTTCACTGTTAAGGAGGATTATTTATACGATGATTGATGATGAAGATAAAGCTTTGTTATTCTCGTGCTCTTTAGCTCCATCTTGTAAGTAGTTTCATGACATTGTGTTTATGATATGGATTACATTTGCTTAAAGGATGTTAAAAACTTATTATTATTATTTTTAAATATGTGATTGTTAAGGCTGAGGGCATTAGAGATTAAACACCGATTGAGGGATTGTTCGTTAGGGAGTCACCCATTGAGTAACTGTTTGCTTTTAACTAAGAAGGTCAAAACAATCCCTAGACTATTTATGGAGGGCTATTTTAATCACAGATTGTCTAGTGTGTACAATTTAATTTGTTGACTCCTTTAATCGAAAATAATCCCTGGACTCTAGGGATTAAGTTGAACATATTTATAGTTTTGAATTAAATAGGCCTCATATAAATAAACTAGGGACCATTTTTACTTTTATTACCACTGCCAAGGTAGTTCTCATTTTACTTATAAGGACGTGAGTTGCTTTTGTTATAGAAAAAAGAGCATTAAACGAATTTCATATTATGAAGAGAAAAAGCAGCATGCCAAAAGACAACCACGAACATGATAAGTTAATTGATGTTAGTATTGTTGCAGATTGTTTAGGTGCATGTCAGAGTGATGCTATTTTGGTAAATGCTGAAAATAATGCAATGATCGATGTACTTTAGTTTCAATAAATATCCTTGAGTTATTTTATATTTTTGAGTGTTGCGTTATAGTGACTATATACCTTATACGAAGAAAAATGAGATATGCAAAACAGTTAATTTTGATACTATGAATTTGAAGATACATGATAATGTGAATATAAATTTGACCAAAATCACACGTGTCCAAACCTTACAAAAAATTTTGTATCGAGTCTTTCAATGTTGTAATGTACATATTTTTGGGGGATATTGAAGTTCTGAATGTTTGCCAAGTTGTATTGGTTGTCATAAAATCAAAGAGAGTTAATGGTTGTTATGTATTGTAGGTGCAAATTTGAGTGGAGTTTCTTCGATTTTATCGTCTTTGTTGGAACGTTATGACTCATGAAAATAGAACAAGGTTAGTTCTCTGGCTGCAACTTGTATTTTGAAACAGAGGTGGTTATGAGTTGTGGAAATTACTATTGGAGATGCCAAGGTGGATTGATCATGTTGCGTAGTTTATCCCAATATCACATTATACTATTATAGTATTTAGAGCAAGGGCAGCTAGTTCAAAAAATTAGTGGCTGGTGCTTTTTCGATATCAATGGATTCACTTTTGTGCGCAACAAATATATGTTTTGGAAGTCTATCATGGGTGTTAAGTTCACGATTCATTTGGACTTACTAAGTTTGCATTATACACTGTCGTTTAGGAGCTTGAGGAGCTGAATTTGGAGAAGAACTATAGAAGTGATCTAAAATTTATTGACATAATATTGTGTTGAGGGGAGGATATTTTAGAATTTCCACTCAATAATTCATCAAGGCATTTACAAACTCTAAGTATATGATTTTTACCATAATAATATATAATTTTTATTTTATGATAAAATTAAATTTTAAGTGTTATATAAATTTTTATTTTAGATGACTCCAAAAGTCAAATTTGAACTTCAAATGGATTTGAAATTCTCTCCTTGTATATTTGGAGTATTGCACATTATTTCTGGCTTGCGTTTCTTTTGATTTGGTCCGGTTGTTGAGGGTGGGATACTGCTTAATGGATATTTAAATATAAACTGAGTTTTGATTTAAGAAGAGTAAAGAGAAGATGAGAAAGAGAAGAAAAAGTAGAAAAATAAAAAGTTTTTCTCTTGCCAAGCAAAACTATCTTGATTTGGCAGTACTGTTGTTTTATAAAATTAGGTGATGATATCATGCTCCCTAACAGCTATAATGATAGTATTCATATCTTTTCCCCAATTTATTTTTGGGGCATTTGCATACATACACCCAATTCCTAGGTAATTTTACATATTTAACACCTAAACTTTACTTTTTACATTTATACCACCCAAATCTTTCATTATCAGATAAAAAATACCATCTTATTAAGTTTTTAGAAAGTGAAATACACCTTTTCATGCATAGGTAAGGTGGCATATATGTAAAAATTGAAGTTTTGGTATTAGATATGTAAATACATTGGAATCGAGTGGTATGTATTTAAATCTTCCTCCATTTTTTTTTAAACCAGGAATTCATCAAGCTATGGTGTCTATAGCAAGGTATTGAACTGATTTGTGCTTAACCATTAAGCAGAATCGATTGGAATATAGGCACCTATTTTCCCTTAACTAAGGAGATATTGAAAGTTGCACTTGATGAAATTCATTTTCTACAATGGTTGTTCTTAATTTTCCCACCAAGTTCTTTTGATTTATTGTTGTTCATTTTTTCCAACTGTAATAGTTTTCAATATCTACATTGCAAAGTGCCTGTGATTCTCTTTTGCGCTTCAGCATTAGCAACTTTTGATATTGTCAGTTCCAATCATCAGAATAAATCTCCAACTGATTTTTACTTTGGCAGGATATTGGGGTATGTATCTAATTGGTGTACATTTGGGCTATAGCATTTTCTTTGTGAATGGAGCATCAATTAATACTGGAAGCAATCAGCTTACGCGGAAAAGTGTTTTTATTCTTTGCATTTTTTTTTGGTAAAATTCATCTGATTTATGCTGCTTTCATTTTTCCTATTTTTTGCTTCCCTTAGAAATTTTCTTCAGATATTTTATTATTAATATATGAGCAATAAATCATATCATTTGGTCAATTTATTTTGAATAGGTCATTGACTTTAATTCTGGACAGATATGTGGAAAGAGTTTCTCGGCGAATGGTAAGAAATTTTACTTTAGCATGACAAATGTTTAAAGAAATCTTTGAAGGATCACACGTTTTTATTGAGGGTTAGGTTGAAGACTTTTCCTCATACTTAAAGAGCTGGAGGATATTAGTTTTTTCATCTAAAAGACACCAAAGTTTCCATTTTTTTTTAGTTATCATATTATTTGGTCCCTCTGAAAATCCTTTTTGGATTTTTCATCAATCAGTGCCATGTGATACCCATATTTATACTACCTAATATAATGAATAGCGATAGAACATTCATTAAGTGCTCCTACAAATTATTAGAGACTTTTGATAATTAATACTCAGCAACTGTTCATAATGATACTTTAATCCTGGCTTTCAACATGAAGCACAAAAAACATCTTAATGTTAGTAGCAAAAAATAAAAAATAAAAAACATACATATAATTGATGGAAAGAAAGTCTAAAGCATCTTATAGTTTTAGAAGCATCCAAGTGGTAACAAACAATTGTCTTACAGAAAGACTAGAATAGCTTATAGATTAATTGTTCCATTGACAAAGTTTGCCTCTCAATAATGAGAGCAATGTTTAAAAATGTGAAATTGGGAATTGAGGCATTAAGTCTCGAGAAAGAAAAAAACTCATAAAATTAACAATAATTCATAAATATGATATAAATCATTATTTAGTTTATTATCATAATGACATAAATCGCAAATCTAAATTTTAAATATTAATATAAAATTAGAGGTTTGAATTGTGAATCTACGTAAACATTCATTTAAAATTTAAATATTCCATGAGATTCATGATCCATAGAGGACTCATCCTCTGTTTCATTATCTTCAAAAGAATTATCATATTTATTATCATCTATTTCTATCTCATCGTAATTTTAAAAGGCTCTTTATTCATTATAGTTTTCTTTTATCATCAATTAATCTAAAATCTAATAAAATTTAAAATAAAAAAAATAAATTAATAACATAATTAAGACATTATATTTAAATTATCTTTTGGCCTTTTTGAGCCATGGTAGCAGATATATTAAACATAATTCAATATATATTAATGATATAATGTAACATAATTTTTTTTTTTTGCACGACTTGATTGAGGCGCTGCCTCAAACACCTCAAGGCATAAATCCTTTAGGCATATGCCTCGGATGCAAAAGGCGCAAGCCTTACTATCTCCAGCAAAGCTTACGTCTTGAGGCTTCTTATGTGTGCCTCAATTTGAGGTGCGCTTCAAATGCTTTTTTAAATAATGGCTGAGACAACTTTACATCACCCCTAATCTCCATCCAAACGTTTTTGTTAGTTTTCTTAAGCACATATAGGAATCTTTCGAAATAACTCTGTAGCAGTGGCTAGTCTAAAAAAGAACTAACAGGAATCTAAGGCTGTTAATTGTCTCAATGACGATGAATAAAGATACTCTGGCAATGTTGTGCTGTAATGATAACTGTTTTTCATTTGCCTTTTATTGTAATTGATCCGGGGACAATGTTGGCCTTTCATTATTGAGACCACTTGACAACTTTGTTCTCCATTGGAGCATTTCCATCAATTCTCTTAAGCGTTTATAGGGAAGGACTTTGTATCTCCGTGAAATTAAACTAGTTTAGTTCAAGCTATAAATATTCAATTATTCCATATGGAATTTGGAAATACATATGAACTCTTAAATATTTGAGTAAGGTTTATTCCATATGGAATTTGGAAATACATATGAACTCTTAAATATTTGAGTAAGGTTTCTCAACAGTAGAAGTGCATATCCCAGCTCAACTGTAGAAGTGCATATCCCAGTATTTGAATTTTGAGTATTGATATGACATTTATTTTGAAATATCCATGCTATATATAAGATCCTCTAAATGGAGGGAGGGTGAACGAGGAAGACAAGTAAATGAGATGAATGTGAGAGGATGAGCTGGTGGGGTAGATGATCGTGCTCTGCATACATTTATTGTTTAGGTTTATATTTATGCTTTATGTCTTATTTGTCATTTTATCTACCATCTGGATTAATTGAGCCATTTGTTATTTAAGTGAGGATAAACACATATTAACTTTATCAATTTGTTTTTTGAGAAAACCGCTTTAGAAATAGATACTTTGGCCTTAAATTAGCTGAACTTTGATGTTTATGAATGGAAATTTGATATATTTCAATTTATTCATCCTTCACGAAGTGCAAGATCTAACTCTTCTAGGAGACATATTCTCGTGGCTAAGAGTGAGGTTTTCTTATTGTTTGACAACCTTCGATAGAGAATTAGGAGTAAATTTGATGAGAGATGGGTAGGGGATAGCAAAATATAGTTGGTTAATAAAATTATAAGAGAAAAAGTTGCCGTGTTTCCTTCATTTTCCTTGAGCACTTTAAATTGAGGAATGACTTCACATCCATGGGAGAAACTGACATTCATCGCCATTATATGCCCCCCCATAAAATTAAAGAAGTCTGGTTCAACGTGAAGAGAACTTCATAGCAATCAGTAAGTGAACATTCTCACCTAATTAACAAGATATGCTATTCTAATATAGGAAGTAAATATAAATATTTCCTTCCAAACCACTAAGATATAATGATTTTCTTGATATAGTATATGTATGTACAGGATTTTCAAATATGTCCCACATCAACAAGAGTATACCTGGGGAATAAACTGGTACTTTCACGGGGAGTAACTGGTAAAGGTGGAAACAATTCAACTACTCTAGGCACAACTTCATCCCCCACATCAACTATGATTAAATTTCTTAGAACTATGCTAATAATTAATTATCCTCATCAACATTACAACCATAATTTCGATACAATGTTTGTTCTATGTGAAGTTTGAACTACCTGTACAAGCTAGAAAATCTGAGAAAAAAGTTGAACACTGTAAAAAGGCATTCTAGTATTTAAAATTTTGAATATGGATAGCACGCTCCTTTTGAAATAGCCATGCCTGAAGCAGGGCCTTTTGGCTGGAGTGTGCGTAATTAAGAGAATGAAATTGTTGGGTATATATATATATATATAGGTAGGGAGGGGAGAGAGAGAGAAGGACATAGATGCTCTTCAAAATGCAATAACTAAAATGTTGGTTCTATGTGGTGGTAACCCCAATGATACAATTTGAATATCGAAAATGTGCATTTGCTGGAAGAGGAGTCATGTCACTGGAGGGAGGGAGAGAATATGATATTGTGGTCGTACAAGACAAAAATGATCTTCAGAACGATGGATTAAAATGTTGGGTTTATGTTAGTGATAACACCGATGCGTAAGATGAATACCAAAGATGCACATGTGCTGGAGGAGGAGTCATGTCACTGTAGGAAGGGAGGGAGAGTATGAGTCTGTTTGGGGCAGCTGTAGCTTATCCTGATAATCTGCTGATAAGCAGCTGATCCGGATAAGCTGGCTAGCTGTTTGATTTGTGCGTTTGAACAACAACTGATTCTGGATAAATGACAATTCCACCCTTGTTCTGGATAAGTTGTTTAGCTGTTTGATTTGTGTGTTTTGTAAACAACTTATTTGCAGATTTTTTTAGTTGAATGAATGATCTGTCATGCAGAATTTGTAATTTTCTCAAATATAAAGACATGAAAGTGCAAAAGAGTTGAATTACATTATATAACTCAAGAAGTTTAGAGATTTACAAAATTAAGGGAATCTAAAGCATGTGAAGGGGTTGATGAAGGGGAGAAAGACATAGTTTGACTCTCTCAATGGTCTCTTGTAAAAGTGGACGAAATTACTTTTTTCAATGGTCTCTGGTAAAAGCAAACAAAAGGAAGAGAGAAGAAAGTTTCAGAGGTCTCGTCATCTGCAATCCCAACATTGCCTTCCAAGCTAGCTCTAATTGCGATTGTTTCTCAACGCTGGTATTGTGTGAAACCAAGAGAGTGAGAAGGGAGAAAGATAGGATGAAACCGGGATAGTGACGAAAGAGATTGTTTTTGAGCAGCTAGACTATGAAAGCTTTACGGATTTGTAACCGCACATTTTATTTGTGAAACAAGTAATATTAATGTGAAAATTGTGTGCTCAATATGTAAAAATCCTTAATTTTATGAGGAATTTACATACATCACCCAATTCTTGTGCATTTACTTATCTCACAACTAAATTTTATTTTTTTCGGATAATACATTTTTTCTGATGTATAAAAATGTGAAATGCAATTCATCTTTTCATACATAGGTTAGGTTTTTGCACTGTAAAAATTAATATTTAGATGCAAGATAAGTAAAAAGTAAATGCTCAAGAGTTTAGTGCTATGTCTGTAAATTTTAGTAATTTTATTTTGGCTTCCCGCAATCCAGGCTTCATGCCCTGGTCTATTCAAAGGAAATCATCAAATTTTAATTCCTTTAATTCCTTCCCAACGAGGCTAGAACATATGAGAGTTCTGCAGCCCAATTTTTTTTAATTCCTTCCCAACCAAAGAAGAAGAAGTAATTGCAAATGTTGTTATCTGATTTTGTTCTCCACCATGTAATACAATAATGTAAGTACCGAAGAAGAAGAAATGCAGAAGAGGAAGAACTGCAGACGAAGAAGAGAAATAAATGCCGTAGAAATGTCTGTCGAGGTGTGAAGAAGAGGAAGAAATGACCGTTGAAAAGTCTGTGGAGTTGCAAAGAAGAGGGCACGAAAGAGGTTATACCTGCTGAGAATGCTTGGCGAAGAAGAGCGCGATGCCGATAGGAAGCAAGGAGCCAAGAATGCCGAAGAACGTAAGCAGAGAGTCGCGAGCTAGGGCAGACCTACGACAAAGGATGCGAACGAACGAGAATGCCGAAGAAGATACGAACGAGGGATGTAGAAGAAGAAAAACCGAAGAAGAAATGCCAATTACTCTTCTTCGGTAGTGTAGAGAAAACAAAAAGATACGAACGAGAATGCCGAAGAAGAAATGCCGAGGAAGAAGCCGAATGAAGAGGTCTGTCGATTGCCGAAGAAGAGGGAGGAGCGACTACCGAAGAAGAGGGAGGAGCGGATAGGCAGAGGATGTGAACGAACGAGGGGAAGGGATATGGGAACGAACGAGGGCAGCGGAGTAATTGCACGCGAACGAAATGCGAATCGCGGACACCCTCTCGCGGGCGGCGTCTTTCACAAATGCAAAACACCTTTTTTGGATAAGTTAGTGAAACACGCGAAACAAACACTACGAAGGTGTTTTTCAAAACGTCGCCGCAGTTATAAGCTGCCCCAAACGGGTCCTATGATATTCTAGTCATTTAGGGCATAAATGCTCTTCAAAATGTATGGACTAAAATGTTGGGTGTACGTTGGTGGTAACACCAATGACATGACTTGAATATCAAAAATGCGCATTTGCTGGAAGAGGGGTCATGTCACTAGAGGGAGGGAGGAGGGAGCGAGCGAGAGAATATGATATTGTTGTCATATAGGACACAAATGCTCTTCAAAATGTATGGACTAAAATGTTGGGTGTACCTTGGTGGTAGCACCGATGACATAACTCGACTACCAAAAAATATGTTTTTGCTGAAAGAGGAGTCATGTCATTGGAAAGGCAAAAATTAGAACTTTTTTAATTTTTATTTATTTATTTATTTTTGCATGAATGTAGTAATATCTTAGGTACAATATTATGAATTAGTTTGCGAAGCATTTCTCTGGAATGACATGTAATTTAGCCGATTCAATGCGACGGTAATGAATAATTCTTACTGAACTTTATGCAATAGCTGATCTCTAAGGGTTCATTTGACATTACTTCTATTTCCTGTTTTTATTTTTATTTTTTCTTTTGTTTTTTAAAATGATTTTGGTTGGTATAATTTTTGTATATTTTTATTTTTTGTTTTAAAAATAAATCAACTTATTTTTAAAATATTCAAAACACCTAAAATTTATTTTTACTATTTTTACAAAAAATCTAGCGTAATCAAACATGTTTTAACTTGTATCAAAATATAAACAGACAATAAAAACAAAAGGTGAAAAATAAAAAATAAAAAATAAAACCGATCCCAAATGGCCCCTAACACTTTTGTTCAACAGGCCAATATAAATTTCTTGGTTAGGTGCAACATTTTATTTCTAGATATTCTCATTGTCAATTGACCAGTTAAACCTGCTCCATGCAGTGCAACTTGGCATATGTCACACTTGTTCTTGCCCAGAATTTCCAGGTATTTCTTCATTTCCACCCATTGCTTAGCTTTCTATCTATGATTTCTAAAAGCAGTGATAAGCTGTTTGTTTTTCTGATGTTATGAATATGCATTTGTACTGTAGCTGTATCATAATATTTTAATTTTTTGCAGGTCTTGTCTGTGTTTATGCTTTCAGAGTATATTTCTGTGCAAAGGCCTTTGTTGGTTGAAGAAGTTTTTAACCAGAATCTCCTTGGATCTTTCCTTCTGGTCAGTTGGGCGTCTTAAATTTAGTTTAGACTACTGTTCTCTCTTACTTGAAAATTAATTGGAAGATTTACATACATTCCACACAAATCCTATGTTTTTAAATATCTACAACCTAAACTTTATATTTACATTTATATACACTTCGTCGTGATAAACAGACATAGAAAATGTATATTTCCATTGTAAAAAGTACGTGATAGTGTATTTTTTATGTGATATTAAAGATTTGAGTTCTATGCGAGTAAACATATTAAAGTCTGGGTTTTAGATATGTAAATACATAAGGATATGTATGTAAATACCTTAAATTAATAATATAAATTCTTTTGGTGCAGGCAAATGTGCTTACTGGCTTGGTGAACTTAAGCATAGATACACTTTCTGCTTCTTCTTTTGCAGCAGTTAGTATACTGATTGGATATATGCTGTTCTTGACCGCTGCAGTCAGTTTTGCTTGGTTTCACAACCTCAAGTTTAAGTTTTGGTGAATTGGATTGCTGAGTTTGTAGATTACATACTTTTTACTCTTTTTATCATTTAATTTTGCAGAAACTGTATAATGTTGATATATCATGCTAAATAAAAAAAGAAGATTTACATGCATATCGCATAGTTTTTTATATTTATATATCTAACAGACCAGCACATGTTATGCTTTTTATGTCCATGGCAATTGTGATGCTGCTGTAAATATATATATATTTGATATGTGAAAACAGAGGGTTTGGGTGGTCTGAATGTAATGTCCCTGATAAAAATCAATGTTTTGTCCATAGATACGTAAATGCGTAATAGTTGATAATGGAATTAGAAACTATTATCACACTGAAGTGAATGTCTTTGGTAATTTCATATATTATAGGCATTGATGTTGAACAATTATAGGCTATATAGGATAAATACAAAGTAAATGTATATCTGAAATTTTAGGGATATGATTCAATATATTCTTAACTTTGGTCGTATTAAATTTCATTTGATACGTTGAGAAAAAAAATATTATAAATTTATGAGTATCATCACGCACACAATGAGAACATTGATGTTAGTTTTATTTATTTTAAACATGGAAAATGTCTAAAATTAGAAATGTAATAAAGAAGAAGATAAATAGGATGGTTATGTGCATGCCAAAATCTTATGTCAAAGCTTGATTATAAGGTTGAAGTAAACAAAAATATGATAGACAAGTGATAGCAAATGGTTAGGCTAGCTTAGCTCTTATGCTCACACATTTTCATTCCTAGATATAAAAAACATCAAATGGCATAAGATGTAATCTTAAATATACAAGACAGAACTCAAAAATATAAAGCATGAAATTTAATTGTTCCAAAATGCTCAACAATAAAGGGGTCAATAAACTAAAAATATTAGGGAGAGTACAATAAACATAACTAAATATGTCCTCGATATATAAAGACATGAAATAGAGTCTCTATGATGATGATGATGATGATAATGATAGCACTTTAGTTGTCTTACATCAACACTCCTTAGCTTCAAAGTGTTCCCCTTCAATGAACGGAGACTTAGCTACTCCTATAATGATTGCAAGCTTGACCACTGCAACTCATTACATGTTTAACATGATTCATATAGTAAAGAAAGGCCTATTCTTCTTTAAAAATTGTAGGATACTTCTCAAAGGGGGTGGAATCCACCCTTATATTTGTTTTTCAATTAATGTCATGTTCTCTACCATTTCGGCACGACACATCACTTTTAGAAGTGCCAAGATTATCAACATTATTTGTTGATGTAAGTGAAGCTAATTATACTCAGCCAGATATTATCATAGGAAAAATCACTTAAGTGAGGCCTTTAATAAGGCCATTTTGCAACTTAGTAGAAAATTCCTCCTATTAACAAATGATAAGGGCATGAGAAATTGGTTTAAAGTATTATGGGGTTTAAGAGCCACCCATTATGCTTCTCTTATAGAGTCACCCACAAGCACTCTAATGAGAAGACTGAACATCTTTAACTAGAAGAATTCAACCATTTAGATGTAATGAGACTACATAATCATTAATTCGAGTTTTAAAAGTCTCACATGGAAATCATCGATAAGTAATTAGTTTAAATTTAACATAAGGGGTTCATTACATACATAACACCTCAAACATATGGTCTATTCATTTATTAAATTATCACATAAATATCAAATTTCATTGTAATGCTTCAACTCAATATTTACTTTTATCAAATTTCTAGAAGTCTAATTGTAGCATGCCTAAATACCATGTTTAATGATACAAAAAGTGACATACGTGTTATATATATATATATATATATATATATATATATAGACACACATTTAATAAATAATAAGAGAAATTTAAGAAATTATATGCTATTTGAGCATTTAACTGCATACTTTAATTATTATAAATTATTTAAAAAATGTCAATCAGAATAAAAATAATAATGGATTATTTTTCAGTAAAATATTTAAGCCAATTAATTATATTTTAAATGTTTACATGACGCATAATAATAATAATTGAAAAATGCCGATAGCTTATTTTCATGAGAAAATATGCACAAGAATCATTTAGGACCAAAATATTGTAGTTTGCGATTGCAGATTATTGAATTAAATTATTTTTTTTAATGTAGTAAGTTTGAGTCATATTCTAATTAATTTTAAATCATGTTTGGGCAATCATCAACAAAATTTATCATTCGACACAAATCTCGAGAAAATTTGCTCAAATCTTAAAGAATTTTTTTTAGCAAGAACTATTCAAGCACCGACTAAAGTTCATCCAGAGCTCCGATTTGAGCAAAATTACCGTCAAAGCGATCGACTTGACGAGAAAGATCTAATGACACCAAATTTGACTTATCAAATCATGCCCAAATCGAGTTGTAAAACCAGTTTGGAAGTTTTTGGTGGCTAATTGAAAGGTCATATGGATTCTAAATTTGATAACCATATAGTAAAATCGAGCAGTCTCAATGAGAAGAATACAATAAACACAAGATCACTCAATTCTTATATTGTTAATGTACTTAAATGTTCACAAAATAATGTCCAATTGTAGGAATTTCTATGAGTTGTTTGATAGAATGGTATGGATTCCTTCATTATTTGCAGAGGAGATACTCCCATATTTTATAAATAGAGTCATACCTCATTCATGAAAGGGGACTGAGGCTGAGGACGGAGGAAAAAGAACTGAACTTAGAACAGGAGAGCGAGGAGATGGAGCTGAAGTCTAGTGTTCTACATTGAAGGTTCAACGGACACCAATTGTTCGTGTAGCTCTTGATCACTGCTCGCCGACCTTCGTTGACCACTATCAACCACCCCCTACTCATAGTAATGAAACTACTTATGGAATCACGACGTACGTGCTGACCTCATTTTCGGATGAGATCTTCACTTCTCTCCTTAGAGTCTAGGTCTAGCTTTAGGCTTCTCTTGTTTGACCCTCCTAGAGGACTAATACAGAACCCACATCATTTAGAAAATTCGAGCCACCTCGCCACTCCTTCAAGTTTCGCATGGCCGGTCCCAAATCCTCGACATTCCGTTGATTTGATTAGGACTGACACATGAAACTAGAGTCGAGTTCCTACATTAATAAAACCCACATCATTTAGAAAATTCGAGCCACCTCGTCACTCCTTCAAGTTTCGCATGGCCGGTCCCAAATTCTCGACATTCCGTTGATTTGATTAGGACCGACACATGAAACTAGAGTCGAGTTCCTACATTAATAGGAGCAGCCTCTAGGGAACCCCTTTGTGACCCGAACGCTCGATAACACTGCATTTTTTGCCGTATTTTTTTCACGCATCGCACCCCGCACGATTTTGGCTTAAATTGACTCGCCCGTCGGCGAAATGGTCCAGACAACCCTGAATGACGAAACGAACCACAAAGATGCATCCGAGACGTTGACTTTAGCTAGGAAAGACACACATATCGTTATGGTTTCGCACGCGAACAACTAGCACATATATCGATGCATATTTTTTTAGCGGTGTGCGGACCCTGGCTCAGCCCAAGTTTGATTCAGGCTGGACTCGGGCTGAACACGGGCTAGACACGAGCTCACCTGAATTTGAAATTCAAATTTCAAAATTCAAACTAATTATTTAAATTTAATCTTAATTAAAATTATTCAGGTGTTTATAGCTTCCAATTAAACCTCCCTGCACATATGGAAACAATTTATTTCCCCGCCAATTGATTCGAGTAACGGCTCCTCTCCCACTGGCCTATTTCTTTCTCGCGCACGAGAGCCTCGGCTCCCCGGCTTTGATTTGACCGAAGAATCCCTGCTCCGCTCGGCCCCGCTCGCCTGCTCCTCCCTCTCGCTCGACTAATAACCTTTCACGCTCGACATCCTGTCCCCCTCTACGGAAACTTTGATCCGCCTCTCTTATCCTCTGCTCCCGATTTCGTCTTAAACCATTGTCGTCCCAATTGAACTTTCGGAGAGTCGCGACTGTCGGTAGCAAGAAAGCACTGACGAGATCGAGGTGAACGGAGTCAAAATTCTTGCACTTCTCCCTTTCTATTCAACCACTGTTCTTGCCTCAAGCAAGCTGTTGTGTATTTGGAAGGGCGCTTTACTCCACGACACTTAGGGATTGAACAGAAAGCTGCTTCTTTTTGGTATGTGGTGGATTTCAATGATCATTTTTCAATATTGTCCTCTTGTGTTACTCTTTTTTACCATACCGTTCAATTAAAGATACTAACAAATATGAATGATTGGCTTTAGGAAAAGTTCTTGATGCACAGAATGAAAATTTTTGCTTGATAGTTGTTAGTTAAATTTTCATATTTTCAAACATAGACCCTTGCATAGTTGGCTTATGCCACTATTATCTTGCTTCAAAATTATCTTGCTTCTGTTTGAGAAATTTGTTGTTGGAAACCTTTTGAGCTTCCTATCTGCAATCAATATATTAATTGTTGCTCATCTTTTTTCTGATTGTTATTTAAACTGTTGTTTGGAGGCTTTTTAATTAATGTTTGAAGGCTTTCAAACTGTTGTTTAGGATACTTTCAAAATTGTTATTTGAGACTTGTTAAAGTGTCATTTTGGAGCTTTTAAAAAATTTTGTTTTGGAGACATGAAAACATTGTTTCAAGGCTGTTTTATTCACTGTTTCGGAGTCATTGCGGGTGTCGATTTGGGGTCATTTAAGTGATAATATGGGGGTGGCTTTGGGATTGATTTATGACTGTCTTAAACATCATTTTGGGCCTGATTTTGGAGAGTTTACACGCTATTTTGGGTTGGGTTTTCTAGCTGATTTTGGGGCATTTAAAGTTGATGTCTTGGGCTTGCTTGAGAGCTGTTTGAAGGCTTAAGCGTGCTGTGGGAAGCTTAAAAGTCACTGTATATGTGTTGTTTGAGGTTGCCATTCATTGTTGAATGTTGTGGGAAGCCTAAAAGTCACTGTATAGTTGTTATTTGAGGTTTTCAATCACTATAGAGTGTTGTGGGAAGCTTAAAAGTCACTGTATATGTGTTGTTTGAGGTTGCCAATCACCGTAGAGTTGCTGTCCAATGCTCCTAGCCGCTGCCCAGTGTCATAGGAATGTTGTAGGGTGTTGTCCAATGCTCCTAGCCACT